CAGAATACATTTTATATGATTTAAATTCTTTTAAATTTATTGAATCTTGTTTTATGGCCTAGAATATGGTCTTCATTTGTAAATGTTCCTGTACCCTAGAAAAGAATGAATATTTTATTGTTGGGAGGCATGTTCTAATACATAGCCATTAGGTCAAGTTGGTTCAAAGTGTTAGCCCTGTTATAACCTTACTGATTTTTTTTTTTTATAAAAGATTTTATTTATTTATTTGACAGACAGAGATCACAAGTAGGCAGAGAGGCAAACAGAGAGAGGAGGAAGCAGGCAGAGAGGCACAGAGAGAGGAGGAAGCAGGCTCCCTGTGGAGCAGAGAGCCTGACGTGGGGCTCGATCCCAGGACCCTGGGATCATGACCCGAGCTGAAGGCAGAGGCTTTAACCCACTGAGCCACCCAGGCGCCCCCCTTACTGATCTTTTGTTTACCTACCCTAAAGGAGGTGTTGAAATCTTAAACTCCAGTTACGAGGTTGTTCAGTTCTTCACTCTGGTATCATTTCCATTCCACCTGAAAATTTCCTTTAGTATTTCTTTTAGTGCAAGTCTGTTGGTGAAAAATTCCTTTACCATTTTTTTTTTTTGGCCTGAAAAATTATTTCTCTTAAGGATATTTTTGTTGCATGTAGAAATCTAGGTTGGCAGTTTTTCCTTTCAGCATGTTGAAGATGACATTTCGTTGACTTTTGGCTTGTACTGGTTTCTGCTGACAAGTCTACAGTCATTCTTTCTTCCCTTGTATTTAATGTATCTTTTTTCTGTCTGCCTTTCACATTTTCTCTATCACTGGTTTTCAGCAATTAGATTATAATATATTGATTTTTTTTTTTTAATGTTTCTTCTTGGGGTTTGTTGAGATCCACAGCTCTGTGGATTTATAGTTTTCATCAAATTTGGAAAAATTTCAGCCTATAGTTCCTCATTTGTTTTTTTCCGTATCTCCCCTCTTTGGTTTGACAGTGTGCATAGCTCAGTATGAACCAATCACAGTCCTGCTCCGCCTATGATGCAATTTCTGAAAACAGCCCAATTTCTAGCTGTTTACAGTAAGAAGGTAAATCCAGTACCAGTTAGTCTTTCATGGCAGAAGCAGAAATGTCTCTTTCTTTCTTCCTTTCTCTTTCTTTCTTTCTCTGGTAACTTTAAAAAACAAAAAGCTATGTTTTCAGTCTATTTCCTCTCTGTTTCAGTCTGATTCATTTATATTGGTATGTCTTCAAGTTCACCAATCTTTTCTTCTGCAGTTTCTAATCTGCTGTTAAGCCCATCCATGAATTTTTGAAGTTCCATTTAATTCTTTTTAAAAAAATTCCATTTTCTCTTTTATTTTATTCATATTTTTCTTTAAATCCTTGATCATATTTATAATAACTCTAAAATGCTTACTTTGGTCATACCTGTTTATATGTCATCTATTTTTTTTTTGTCAGCTGACTTTTCCTTTGATTATGGGCCATATTTTCTTCTTTTTTGTATATCTAATAATTTTTATTAGACACTGGGCATTGTAAATACTATGTTATTCCGTGTTGAGATTTTGTTGTCTTCCTTTAAAGGCTGTTGGTTTTCCCCTTTTCTCCCACCCCTCCTTCCTTTCTTTTTGCTAACAATTAAGTTATATGCACATTTACTTTATCCTTTTGGGGCTTGCTTAATTAAGCTTTGTTAAAATGGGTCCCAAGGAGCTTAAACCTATTTTAGCCCTACTAGTAAGCTATGACCTCAAGGGTCATTGAGGTCTCTCCACTCAGGTGGACTAGAACCCAGATTCTCCCAGCACTGCATAAACTCTGAAAACTGCTAACTTATGGCTCCCAGACAACCTGTGCATGCCATGTGGGGGTCTCAACCCATACATTCTCAGCTTAGTATTCAGCAACAGAGTCAAGGGGATACTTATGCTTATTATTCGAGCTCCTTTTCTTCATAGCTCTCTCCTCTCCTTTCTTCATAGCTCTGTCCTGCAAATCTCAGGCACCTCAGACTTCTTGAATGCAGACTTCTGCATCCTCAACTCAGAATCCTCTGTATTCTCCCTGGGCTTTCCCTCCTTATAACATGGCTCAGAATGTGGCTCCAGGCAGAAGGCTGATGAAACCATAGGACTCCTTTGTGTGCAGTCTCCTTTCTACTTCTATTAGAGATCATAGTCTTGTCCCTTCAACAGAGTAGTAACAGTAGAAGTCTTTCTTTCTCTTATTAATTTTGTTGCTCAAATTGTTTCAGATCTTGTCAGTGGGCACCCCTTCTAGATGGCTTAAAAAAAAAATGTGCTTCTGATATGTCCCCATAGTCTTTTAGGCATTTACATACTTTCTGGGATTAGATGTTCCAAGCTCATCTTGTTCTTTCCTTGCGCCAGACCTGGAATCAGAATTTTCTCCAAGAAGATTTGGTATCTTTTAGTAAAGAATGGTAATTACAGACCATTTGGTATGCTGTTACTGATATAACACTGCATTCTTGGAGGAGTTGTGGTCACTTCAGTGTCTCGGTGAATAGGTCCTCTTAGGATCTGAAAAGGCTGCAGCTGTTTGGACCCTATGAATGACAACCAAATAAACTGTAACTCCTTTTTAGGACAAAACCTCACACTGAGGAGAAACTGCAAAACTAGGACATCACAAGTAAATTTAAAAGAAGACCCAAGTAAAAGTGCAGAGTACAGCCGAAAGTACATGTTTTTATTAAGTTGTTTTAACAAGGGAAAAGGGAGCTCTAGAGCTATGAAACTAAAAATGCTACCCTGAGACACCTCACGCAGGCAAAATACCAAGTTACTTACAAGGTAATGAAAATCAGATTGCTTTTAGACCTTTAAAGAGCAACGCTTTATGCCAGAAGACAATCAGATAATCAACTAATAGAATTAAGATAGTCAAGGAAAGAAAATATAAGGCAAGGATTTCATATACATCCAAACAAACTTGCAAGCATAAAGGCCTTAGACCAACTGTGATGATCCTCTGACTCTTTCCTGGGAAATCTAGAAGAGAAGAAGCTTTAGAAAACCACAGTTATTGAAGAAACAACAACATAAGGATTGGTAGTTATATTCGATGTGTATTTACCCACAGAATAAAGAATAAATGATGATAATAAAGGGGAGAGTGTGATACGTAATGGCTGTTTGTTCTGTTAATATAGACACAGGTCAAGTATCAAAAAAAGTGAAAATGAGGAAAGCATATGTGAAATGGAATAAGCTTGCTGATTATCTTTGAGGTAAAAAAATTATTTCAAGTCAGATGATGGGAGAGAGAAGGAAGGAGTAAGAAGCAATAACTAGATAATCTAATATTGTTCACAGTTGGGACAAAAACAAAAAAAGGAAGGGAGGAAGAACAGAGTATTATATAAAAGTATAAAGGTACCCATTAAAATAAAGATATAAACCTTTCTAAAAGGAGAGAGAGGAAATAAAATGGACTATGTACGTGGTGAAGGCTTTTTATACAAAAGATGTGTGTATAGGTAAAATAGAAAACCATGACAAAACAGGAGACTAAAGACATAGATCACATCAATAAATATAAAGAAAGTTCCAGATTGGCTAAGACATCAACACTATTTGCAAACAAAGACCTTCAGAAAGATGAAAGACTAAAACAACAGACAAAGATACACCAGGCAAATGCAAAGAAAGTAAGGCAGGAGTTGCAATTCTGAAATCCAACCAGGTAGATTTACAGGAGGAAATCATACATAAGGAGTCAGATTTAAAAACAAAAACCAAATAATTTATAGCATGTTAAAGAGTCTGGACTTACACTCAGTGAGAGACTCTCAAAGATAATCTGGAGATGGACAAGAGTCAGACGTGCACTAAAAGACCAGAGCAAGGGGACATGGGAGGTGGGGAAGCAGCCAGAATGGGGAAGAGGAGACACTGAGGGCCTACTCCAGGACACGTGGTTTGCACTCATGTTCTCATTTCAATTCTTAGAACTATGTGAGAGGTGTCTCTTGTTATTCACATTTTATGTATGGGGAGTCTGGGGTTCAGGAAGGTCAAGTAACTTGTCCAAGGATCAAGATTTTTCACCTCACTCTTTGCCCCTACATATTGTTATCTGTTAAAAAAAAAAAAAAGTTCAAGCAAGAAAGGGTGAGGGTCTAAGGCAGTACAGAAGGATTGGTATTTAAGGAACGTAATTAGGCAGGCTTAGTGGTAGAACAGACACTGTGTAAGAGTAAATTTAACAAAAAATTAAGAATTTCAGAGCCATTATAAAAACTACTATCTATACAAAGTTCCAAATATATTGAAAAGGAAAACAAACCAGAACATCCTTTTATAACCTTTTATTTGTTACTACTTTTTATTATTCCCCAGACTTGTGCTAACTAAAGCCAAAATGTAAGCATACATGGTTTCTTGTTACGTATTAACACACACACACACACGCGCGTGCGCACGCACGCACAGCATCCTTACAACCACAACAACAACCAGGCCCTATGAAAACTAATGAGACAGGAAAAGATATACAAACATCTAGATAAGGATTCAACCCGGATTACTACAGAGAAGGTACTGTGTTTCCTTCTTTTTTTTCCTTTGGGGAAGGGGCAGATCTTAAAATTAGCAATGTCCTAATAATTAATACAAAAATGTTTGTTCTCTGTGTACGAGGCACTGAGAGTGAAAAAGTTTATTATTTTTTCTTATTGAATAAACATTTGGAACGGAATTACAGAAGACAATTTAGTTAGCAGAATATACATAGATAGTCTTAAATTCTTAAAGTCTAATGACTGTTTTTAAAGTTACAACATAGAATCTTCCAGTTTTTCTACTTTAAAAACAAAAGCCCTGCATGTCCTTGGAAAACTTTCTCCTTACCCAATTTTTGTTTCATTCTAGTGCCCCAACTCAGTCTTCCCAATTTGGTATGAGATACTCTATTGAATTACTTCTACATGTTTGATTAGTTAAATAAGGATACGTTGCCCTCCCTTCTTTTATTCAGTCTCATACTTACATGGAATTGTTCTCAGGTAGAGATTATCTCTGATCACTTGCTGCAATTTGTGGTCAATTGATCCTTTCTGAAACTGAAGACTCAGGTAATGTCGCAAATCTTTATTAATGACTTTGCCTACGAGAAAAACCACAGAAGACAACACATAACTGTTAGATCTTCAATTAAATATCGATGTTAGTGATTGAATACCCTTAAACCATTTAGCTATAGACAAGAAGAAATCAGAGTATTTTGCTAAAAACAACATTGTTTTACTAAAAACAAATGATTAGAGTACTATAATTAATAATATGTACCTATACTACATAATGTGGGCATAATTTAACAACAGTAGGGGAGGGCCAAGGTATAGATCAGAGAATATGACAAATACCCAAGATAATTTCCATTTATGGCTTTAAATGCCATTTATATACTGATAACTTCTACATTCTTATCATGTCTCCATCCCTGACCTATGTCCACCAGGCTCCAAAGCCATCGAACTCATTCATATACACTGCAGATATATTTGAAAGTCAAATAAGCACCTCAAATTTCAGATAACCAAAACAGAACTCTTAATTCCATTCTCCACCAATTTTTCCTCTGCTCTACTTTTCCTTGTCTTAGCAAATAATAGCACCATCAACCCAGCAGAATAGACCCAAGGGCTATAAGTCATCAGAAGTTTCTGATTTCTCCTTTTCACTTCTATCCCTCAGATCCAATCCAGTAGCAACTTTTGTCAGTTCTACCTCCAAAACATGCCCCATGTCCACTTCTCTCCATTTCCAGAGCCTCCATCACTTCCTATCTCGAATTCTGCAACAGCCTTCTAATCTGTCTCCCTGTATTCATTCTTGCCTCCTTCTGCTCTCACCACTTACACAGAAGCCAGGTGAGATTTTGAACATAAACCAGATGATCACCACTCTGTTTAGTGCCCCCCTCGCCAATGACTTCTTTTTGCACTCAGGATAAAATCCAAACTTCCACATGGTCTAGCTCTGGCATTCTCTGACTCAAACCCATTCACTAGCCACCCACTAGCCATGCTTCCTCCCACAATGGCCGTCTTCCAAAAGGCCAAATGGACCCTACTTTGGATCCTTCTGCCTATCTCTGACTGCACAGGCATTTGCTGTCCACTCACTTGACTCCTAGATACAAGGTGATTCAATAAGAGGATGAAAGAGGTTTTTTTGGGGGAGGGGATGGGAGATAAAAAGAGGACTACCGGAGATCTCAAAAACATGTTAAGCAGAAAAATAGAGGATTACAGAAATCTGATAGCAGTGAATTTATAGTAAAGGTTGAACTTAAATGAAGACCAAAGCCATCCAAACACTGTTCACTAGATAAGACTTCACAGGGTTACAAAAGGACAATGCTACAACATAATGGATTACTATACTGGGTAAGAAACGACTAGGCAATTAAAATACACTCTTTATCTGGAACAGCTTAATTATGACAAGCATAGATAAGCCAAAAGGTTACTACAGATCAATTCATTCTTTTAACTATTATTCCATGATGTAGCATTTCTAGTCCCCCCCTTTTTGGTCTTCTCTCACAGGAATAAACCAGCATAACCAAATGAGAGGATGTTAATTCAAGCAGGAAACCAGGGTGCTGCTAAAGTTTAGAGATAACATTCGGATCCTAAACTAATAAACACAAACCAAAAAGTCCCCGTTTTGCCTTGCCAAAAATAGATCCTGAGGAAGGGTGTCCCCTCTGTGATCAAAGAAAAAAGCCCGAAAGATATTTACAGGGATAACACAGAAGAATCCCTGGTCACAGAACTGGTTTCTGCCAGGCATTCAGGGGCTCTACCAAATCAAGTTCCATTTAGATGGAATCATATTATGCCATTTCTTATTTTTATCACAGCACTTGGTAACTGCTGGGTGGAAGAAAAACATAATTCATAATCAATACTGTATAGTCCAAGAAAGAAGAAATAGACCCTCAACTCACGGTCAACTAATCTCCAACAAAGAAAGAATGCCCAATGGAAAAAAGACAGTCTCTTCAACAAACGGTGTTGGGAAAATTGTGGACAGCCACATGCAAGAGAATGAAACTGTACCACATTCTTACACCACACACAAAAATAAACTCAAAATGGATGAAAGACCTAAGTGTGAGACAGGAAATCCATCAAAATCCTGTAGGAGACACAGCCACAATCTGTTTGACCTCAGTCACTTCTTGCTAGACACGTCTCCAAAGGCAATGGAAACAAAAGCAAAAATGAACTCTTGGGACTTCATCAGGATAAAAAGCTTTTGCACAGCAAAGGAAACATTCAACAAAACCAAAAGCAACCTATGGAATGGGAGAAGATATTCATAAATAACTTATCAGATAAAGGGCTAGTATCTAAAATCTATAAAGAATTTATCAAACTTGGGGCACGTGGGTGGCTCAGTGGGTTAAAGCCTCTGCCTTTGGCTCAGGTCATGATCTCAGAGTCCTAGGATCGAGCCCCACATCGGGCTCTCTGCTGGGCGGGAAGCCTGCTTCCTCCTCTCTCTCTGCCTGCCTCTCTGCCTACTTGTGACCCCTGTCTGTCAAATAAATAAATATTTAAAAAAAATTTTATCAAACTCAACAAAAAAGCATAATCAAGTCAAAAAATGGGCAGAAGACATGAACAGACATTTCTCCAAGAAGACATACAAATGGCCAATAGACGAATGAAAAAATGCTCAACATCACTAGGCATCTGGGAAATACAAATCAAAACCACAATGAGATACCACCTCACACCACTCAGAATGGCTGAAATTAACAACTCAAAAAACAACAGATGTTGGCGAGGATGTGGAGAGAGGGGAATCCTCTGACTCTGTTGTTGGGAATGCAAGCTGGTACAGCCTTTCCGGAAAACAGTATGGAGGCTCATCAAAAAATTAAAAATAGAACTACCCTACAACCTAGCAACTGACTAGTAGGTATTTTATCCGAAGGATACAAACATAGTAACTCGAAGGGGCACCTGTACCCCAATGTTTATAGCAGCAATGTCCAAAACAGCCAAACCATGGAAAGAGCCCAGATATCCATCAACAGAGGAATGGATAAGAAGATGTAGTGTGTAGACACACACACACACACACACGAATATTACTCAGCCATCAAAAAGAATGGAATCTTGCCATTTGCAATGACATGGATGGACCTAGAGGGTATTATGCTAAGTGAATTAAATCAGTCAGAGAAAGACAAATGCCACATAATTTCACTTATATGTGGAGTTTAAGAAAAAATAGATGAACACAGGGAAAGGGAGGGAAAAATAAAATAAGATGAAAACAGAGAGGGAGACAAACTACAAGAGACTTTTAACTGTAGGAAACAAACAGGGTTGCTGGAGGGGAGGTGGGTGGAGGGATGGGGTAACTGGGTGATGGGTGTTAATGAGAGCACGTGATGGAATCAGCACTAGATGTTACATGCAACTGATGAATCCCTAAATTCTACCCTTGAAACTAATAATGCAGTATATGTTAACTAAACTGAATTTAAATTAAAAGAATACCATATAGTCTCATTTCTTATTGAACAAAAACATACCCAATAATGAGTTTATTAACTATTTTAAAAATTAGGTTAAAGTGTGTTCCAAATGCTTTGTAATAAATATTATACAAAAGCTTTGATGGGTTGTTACATAGGTACTTAAAAGTTTCAGTGATATTTGTGGATGTTTAGAGCTCTTGAATAGATAAAGAATGCATCACTGTTTTTTCCCATTTAAAATAATACAGTACTGGCTCCAATACCTAAAAATCCTCTATCCAACATATTTTCATGAATACACTTAATCTGGGTAAAGGATAATGACTCTAATTCAAGAAGATGGCACGAGTCAACATTTTTTTTTTCTAACCCAGATTGTGTTTTAATTTGAAACTTTCCTGTAAAATATGGTATAGCTCACAGAGGTAACCATATAATGCTAAGAATTCAGACTGGATTTTAATCCAATTAAAATAACAGCCATTAAATCAGATATAATTAAAGACAAAGCCATAATAAAAGTCATAGATCACAAGTTACAGCTTAAAGGGGCTTCTTAAGGTGGAAATGAAGTTAAAACACCTCGTTTCCTGTTTCAAAGGCCTACAAGATCTCAAGACTGGGAGGCTCGTTAAAGCAAAAAGCTAGATTTAAAGAATGGTACCTAGGATTACCTGGGCTGGAACTGCACTCACTCTCAATTACCACCCCGTGCTGGGATTCTGGATGCAGTGATGAAATGCACAGTTGCCAAGAACAGGGTAAGGGACAATTTCATGAATGTGATATTTTACTTCAAATGTGCAAGTCATTCAAAGAAGTCATCACACATCTTCAAGGTTGAGGACAAAATATTACAAACAGCAGTGAAATGTCAATTATAAAAGATTAACAACTTATACAGGGTTGGCCTTCTTTCAGATTAATAATTAATAGTAAAATACAATGGATATTATAGTCATCATGGACTTCCTTGCCTCAAGAAACCAAAGACCTTCTGTAAGGGGACAGAATATTATGGTTCCCTCTTTGATAGGATTCCACGGAATTTGTTTAAAAAAACAAAAAGTACAAATATCCTGAGTAGGCAGATGACTGTGGAATTACTAGAAGGCCAACAGAAACGTTAACTCACAAAAACACTGCTGAGTATATCTATACTATCAAGTTGTATATAAAAGTCAGCCTTTTATTTAGGCAGAGTTTCACAGAAACTTGACATTTCAAGGGTATGAAAAACATTTACTTGGGGTTAATGCAGTTGTTGCTAAACAAGGAAGGGAAAAAGATTCTTCATAATTTAGCATTCTTACCCAGCCAGCCTTTGCTTTAAGTGTTAAGATTATTCCCTGACTTCTAAGTGATTTATTAAGTTTATTCATGAAACACAAAAATGGATCGATATATCTTACACATACAGCTCAGGTGGGGAAAAGTCTGTAACTGAAATCTCAATCATATGAATAAATCCAGACACTCAAGTTTCAACATACAAATCCTTAGTCAAAAGAATCCATCATTACAAATCCATACTTTCTGAGTATATGCAAATTAATATTCACTAGCAGTTCTCTCTGGGGAATCTGTATGAAGAGATACCA